AATCCGAGGCAAAAGCCGAACAGGATCGCGGGCGGGAGCATGGACGGGGACTGCCGGAGCTCGGAGCGGGGGCTGCCGCAGCTCGGCCGGCCCTCAGCGCCCGGGGGCGGTGCGGAGAGCGGGCCGTCACCAGCGGCCTGACAGCGAGGGGCACGGACCTGGCGGGCACTGCCCGCTAGTCCGCTTCAGCTGAGCCTGTCCAGCTCCCAGCGGGTGTGACTTGTTTGTTTACTCAGGATTTTTCTTCATGGAGGAGAGCAGGGTGGGAGAGGCTGGGAGAGGCAGGAAGAGGTCGGCCGCGTTTCCTCATGGAGAACGGGACAGCTTGATCCCGAAGGAGGACGGACAGAAAGGACAGAGGAAAGAGGAACAGGCTGGTGTGGTTTCGTTCAGCCTTTAAGGGAAAAACGGGCCATCAAAACTGTTCATTTTTCTGGGCGCTCCCAAGGAGTTGTCTGGAAGGAGAACTTCCAGAGTAACTTCATTTTTTCAGGGAGTTTACCGGAAAAAAACATCAAACCCAAACAAAAATAATTCCACCAACACCAAAAATTAGCTTTTATGAACCACTGCACTCCCCAGAAAACAGGAACATGCATAACACGGAAAATGTCTCCTACCTCTCCAGCTAGTGAACTGGCTTGTAGCTGATTGATGAAGGAATCTTTAAAGTGTGGGTGATCCCCAAGTTATCTGTCTGCCCAGTGTTCCCCTTAACTTTTAGGAAGTTTTTATAGCTCCAAGTCATATTTACTTGGAGCCTTGTCAGTGTGGTATGCAAGCAAAAAAATGTGGAGTGCCTTTTTTCAAAGGAAAGTATTCATCTCCAAGATAAAGAATTTATGCAAATAAAACTACACTATCACACCTATGGGTAGCAAGATGGTCAAAATAAAATTTTACTCATTGCTTAATTTATTGGTGTAAATATTTTTATTGCTGGTACATATGCTGACTAACAGCTATGTAGCCTTTTTTTTTTTTCTTTTTTCTTGCTTCCACAAGATTTACAAAGGAGTTTCCATGTAAAAAGTAAGTCTGAAAGAAGTTTTTTGGGTCCTGTAATATTTATGTTTTTCTGAGTGCCCGATCTAATTTGAGGAAAAACTTGTTATTTTCTTTGTAATTGCTACCTCTGCAAATTCAGCTTTGACTTTCAGAATCAATCTAAGTTCTTTGACACTTCATTGAGAAAGAGGAAGTTGATGTGCCAATCTTGCAGTTTTCTTTAGTATATATTTAATATAATTTGCAGGGGAAGTTCCATCTGAATTAAGACAATTAATGAATACACTTGCTTAAAATAACATTTCAATTATCGTCTTTCATTTCCTATATCCTTCCTTTAATTCTGGTGTCATTTCAGGGATTGTTATTTCACGCACATTGCTGTTACCCCGTATGAACGAGCACAAGCAACATAGAAAATCCCTCAAATAGCTTTTATGTGTGTGTGTAAGAAAACCCCAGCTATGTACACATGGTTATTTCCATTTTGTGCTCAAACACTTGCATTTCAGAGGCCTATGTATCCTGTGTGTCTGCCCTGAGTGTAGACTCTTCGGGTTTTTTTGCCTGCGCTGCTTTTGTTCAGAAAAAGTGTTTTCTCTCTCTGGTTTCTTTTTTTTTTTTTTTTTTCATGTTGAGTCAGCTAATTAAGTAGGAAAATGTTAGTGTTACTTTTTTCAAGTTCATCCCCATGTTTTTCTCAGTCTAGTTAATTTGTAAAAAGGGGAACCATAGTCACTGTATTAGCACTAGCATGAAACTCCAGTGAGCTGACCTCGCTTTTAAGCGGGGAAACAAAACCTTTTAAGAGACGTGCACGTGTGAATCACGTTAAAGTACTAATGACAAAAGAAAGACCTCTGGGGAGGGGTTTCTAAAAAGCCGTGCAGGTCTGGTAGGTGTTCATTCTCTCACAGTCCAAGGATGGACTGTCTGGAATTCCTTTCATTTCTGTACCAGTAAGGTTATTCAGACCTAGTCAGTATTTCAGAGTGGTAACTGAAAAGTAATGTGTAATGTCTGGTGAATTTTTCCACTTCATTCCAACGCATGGCTGGCACTGGGACCTCCTTCACGCAGAAGGCACAGCCTTGTCTGCAGGGTGGCATTTTACTGCACAACAGCCAGACGCAGAAGTGACCCTGTGCTCCCCACTCAGCTGACAAGTGGGGCAGAGGCGTGTCACAGAAGCGATGATTTCGTGTACTGAGAAGGGGGTCGGAAGGTTGCCACCTCTTCTTTTGAGCAGCATCTGGTAGACAATTTTCTGCCTAATATTGTCAATCATTCCCTTGTTCTTGAAGGTGCCTGGCTGTCCTCCCAGCTGGAGTGAGAACTTCAATGATCACTAGAAAGCAAAACAAATGCAAAGTTTACAAAGGGAGTGTGGAGAAGGCAGGTCCCCGAATAAAGAAGTTGGCAGGGGCTCAGATGCCTGGGATTATGAGGGAAGTGGGACACACACACACACAGTGCACATGCTGGTTTGAATACCAAAGCTCAAACAAATACATTTGTTGCACTCTAAAAAGTGAAAAGTGAATGACTAGTTGATTAGGTTATATTTGAAAAAAATGTGATGAAATGTGCAGTAAATTGAGGGTGTCTTTGTATCACTGCTAGATTTTTAAAGGCAAGAACTGAAGCATAGCATCATCAGTCTGGGAGTAGGCAGGAGCAGGGGGGTCTTGCCTCTAGTGATAAAAAGCTGGCATTCATGGACAAGGGGAAAAATATTCAGATATTAAAGAAAATAACAAAAAATGTATTCTTTCCTTGAAGGCATATAAAAAAGGGGGGAAAATAAAAGAGATTAAAAAAACCAAACAAAAATGAGAGCTAGCTGAGGCAGTTTTCAGGGTGGTCCAATAAAATGCCTGCTGTTGATGTAGCCACCTGCTCCTATGAAGCAAACTAAAGCACACCCATACTAGTGCTTGTTAGCTGTGGCTAGTGCTGCATTGCTGAGTGATGGTCCCTGGCGGAAGCAGTTCTGGGACCAGTGAGCAGGGAGGTTATAGAGTACGTAATGCCTCCTTCAGCATTACAGAAAAATCTCTGCTTTTTGAAGTAAAAGGAACTTGTTCCCTTGATGTGATGTCAGTGAAGCTTTGCCTGTAGTCATGATCACAGTAGCAGCTGCTGGACAGAACAAAATGTCAAACAGATCAGTAAATAATTATCTTAAAAATTTGATGAATACTTAACTGAACAAGGGACTAAATGAAATATTTGGGAAAAATATGTATTATTAGACAACTCCACCTGATGGTAATCAGCACGGCGTAGTTAAGGCAGTGCTAGGGAAAGCCAGATTTATTTATTTTTCTGTGCCTAGTGCACAAGGCTACCCAGTGGGTATACTGAAAGAAGACAGACAATAATTATTCAAGATGAAGTGAAAAGCTGTCAGTGTAATTCACCTTCACAGATTGCTCTAGAAGAACTTCTAGAGGGAGATATATATGCTTACATCTACTTATCATAAGAATTGTCTCTTATGTCTTTAGAAAGAGAGAAAAATTTCATTTTTGGAAATATGAACTGATTGTTAAGGTTAGAGGCAAAGAAGCATCTGAAACATTTCTGATGTGTTGGAGAGCTGTGTACACAAAGGGAGTGTGGATGTGCACATTAACTTTTAATAAGCTTGGAAATCATTGACATGTAAACAGCTCCTACTCCAGCCAGAGCCTGTACTTACATTAGAGGCATATTTTGCTGTGGTACAATCATGAGATATCTCTGTTGAGCTAAGTGATACCATATTACCCCATATATCACAAGAATTTACATGGTGTCAGGCCATGGCTATGGGCCAGAATTGTTCAGCAGATCACCCCAAGAGTGCTGAGTCTCTGGCAAAAAATGTTGATATGTGATACTGGATTATGACCTGTGTTTGACTCTTAACTGTTTGTGAATGTAAAGATATAGAAAAAGACTGTCTAGGACTCCCTGACTTCCTCCATAATTCAGCTCCCCTGGGAAGCACTGGAAGGACAGCAAGGGTTCAGCTTCAGCTCCATTCATACTGCAAGTCAGACAGACTGGGAGAAATGGAGCAAACAGTCATTTCTATCTTTTGTTTGTATCAAATATTGTGAGAGAAGTTATTCCTACTATAGCTCCAATCTGGCTTGCCTGAGAAGTGCTAGAAATCTTTAACCAATCTGTTGTAGAGTTGTCAACACTGGCTTCTCATTGCATTTGATAACCCAACAGGAGTAAAAAACATTAGCAGCTCAGATTACTAATGGAAAGTCAGTCTTCTCTGAACCCCTTCCTGGGACTGCACTGGCCATCAACCTAGTGAACTCTGGATTGTCATTCCCTCTGGACCCCAAAACTATTTTGGCATCTCTCCCTCCACCAGAATTTGGTTACACTTTTCCTCTGTCACCCTGACCAACTCTTGCAGGGATCACATGCTGTCCTTCTCTGCTTTGAGATCTGATGGGCCATGAACTGGTGGAGTCCTGTGGAGAAGAGGAAACATTTTGGGGGATGGAGCATCTTCCTGCAGGCAGGCAGGCCTGGGATGTTTTGTGTGTGCCTGAGTACCTGCCTGAGCCTCTCTGCTTTCTGCCACCATGCTTCCAAACCAGAGAACCCATCTAAATAATTCTTGAAACAATTGTTGAACTGAGAACTGAAAACCTGATAATTGATTAGCAATCTCTTTTTATGTTCACCAGAAACCTCAGGGCAAGAGGTGTCAAGTTAGCTGTACCTTAGAGCAGATCCCAGAGCAAACCTGGCAAAAAGGCTGGATAGGGAGTTCAAAGAGAGGCTGAAGTGTGAGCTGTCATGGGAGTTAACAGATGTGCCTGTACAAGCCCAGCTATCCTTTATCACCACAGTTTTCTGCAAGAGATCCTTTGGTTTCCATTCTGTTGTTTGTAGTGTTCATGCTAGTACATATAATCCAATTCATATGATCCAATTTAGTAATCCACGCTTGCTGCATATAGTTTCTAAATTTGTTTCTTGTTTTGCTGCAGTTAAAACATACAGGACTTTAAAAAATTAAGGAAGTCTCTCAATATATATCCCAGTATGTGGCAGATAGGAATGGGACCCTTAGTAACACAATTATAATTCAGATAACTGTGAACACAACCCACTAGAGAAGATCACAATTAGATTCAGGCAGTATTAAAATTATATAAAACACTTCAAATAATCTGAAGACTAGGAGGTATTGGAATTATTCTATTTCCATGCCTTTAAGGTATAAGGAACTATGACTACCATTGAAATTCATGTTTAAGGTAAGCATAATAAGCAATTCATGTTTAAACCTAAGCATAACTTAATTATGTCAAATATAAACTCTAAATCTGGACAATCAGCATAGGAATAAAACAACAAAAAAAAAAAGCATTTATCTTTTTTTTTTTTCCCTTCCACCAATCTCCCCTTTATGCAACATCAGCTTCAAAAAACTATGACTGATCCACTCAGCCAGGTGTCAAGAAGTTAAGCACACATGTAGTAGCAGGAAAAAAGACAGAACATCTTGTGGCAGCATGTACCAGTTCTGGCTGCTGTTCTGCTGAGATGGGCTGAGCTGACATTGCAGTGCAGTTGGTCAAAGCACTGGGAAAACATCTGGAAAGGACACTTCTGGAGAGGTGGGGAAATACTGCTGGAAACCCTGGTATGACAGAATTTGCCAGCAATTTTGTTGCAGATCTTGACCCAGATCTCTGGGAACCTTGAAATAATGAATGCAAACAACTGGTTTGCAGGTTGGGTTGAGAGATTTCAAACTTGCATAGTTTGACATGAAAAGCAACTTCAGTATTTAAGAACAGGTACTGTATTATGTATAATTTCTTGCCAAAAAATGCTGTATGCTATATTCCAGAATAAAAAATACCATTGCTTTTTGAAAGGGATGAATTAACCTAGGATGAAGCTTGGCCCCATGCTGACAATATGTGTACATTTGGCCTGTTGGCAGGTCTCTAGAACAGAATGTGCAGGGAGAAAAGTACTGAACACTGAGAAGGGAATGACTGTAATTCACTTGTAGATGGAAAAGAATATAAATATGGCTCAAAAATAACATGTAAATGCAGACTTAAGATTTATAGAGGAAGAGTTTAGGAAAAGCATGTGACAACCTTAAGTATAATTCAGTCTCAGGAGGCATTAATGAATGGCATAGAAGCCTGTAGCAAATTTAAATGCTGGCCACAGTAACTTGAAACTGTTTGGAAACGATTTTAATTTTCTAAAAAAAAAAGCTTTTCAGAAAGATATTTTAAATTTGAAGCACAGAATTTAAACCAGAAATTATTTCCCTAACTGTTCCAGGTAATTTTCTTCTCAACAGGGTATAGATACCACTGCTTCAACTATTGATCTTGAAAAAAACCCAAACGAATTCTTAATTTCAGAATTTTTTTCCTCCAAAAGTTCCATTTTTCCACCATTTATCTTTTTTTAGGGGGAAGAAGTGAAATAATTTTATTTTACTGAGGCCCGAGAAATCTGGCAGCCTGTTCTGCGGGTGGAGGTTGTTACAGAATCAAGTAGGTTGGAAAAGACCTCCGAGATCATCGAATCCGACGTATGACTGAACACCACCGGGTGAACTAAATTATAGTACCAAGTGTCATCTCCAGCCCTTCCTTAAGCACCTCCACGGTCGGCGACTCCCTCCACCACCTCTCCTGGGCAGCTCAGTCCCATATCTAAACACCCTTTCTATGAAGAAATTCCTCCTGATGTCCAACCCAAACCTTCCCTGCCGTAGCCTAAGACTTTAGCCTCTCGTCCTTATCTGAGGGAATTAATTATCTTATCTGAGAGAAAAAGCCGCCCTCTACCTGGCTACAGCCTCCTTTCAGGGACTTGTAGAAAACACTAAGGTCGCCCAGAGCCTCCTTTTCTCCAGCCTAAACAACCCCAGCTCCGTCAGCCACTCCTCACAGGACTTGTGCTCCAGACCCTTCTCCAGCTTTGTGGCCCTTCTCTGGACACGCTGCAGCACCGCAATGTCCTGTCGGGCACCCGTGCCTTGCTGCCGTGTGAACACAGCACATGCGGGCAGGGCCGGCCGGGCGCTCCCGGGCCGAGGCGGGTGGGCGGCGGGGGCCGGCCTGCCCGGCAGCCAAATCC